CCTACCTGAAAAACTAAAAAGCAATTTATTTAATTCGAACGCCTGCCGTTATTTTTTATTTGTGCTATCATTATTAATTTCTTTATTTGTTTTTATTTTATTACTGACGGCTTACTTGTCATTTTTTATTCAATTCAAAGTTTGAAATCAAGCTATCTCGTGCTACTGCACCAAAATTACCCCACTGTAAAATTTAAAAAACACTGAGTGAGCAAAAATTTGTGAGATATAATGGTAAGTTATATTTGCTAGTTATAATGGTAATTAAATAATGTTTACATATGTATAAAAGCCTACATTAAAATCTGTTATATAAATTGGTCTCTTCATTAGAAATTAGCTTACTGATTGCCACCATTGATGGACAATTTTTTTTTAATAATATTAAAAATATCTGTATGACATTATATTCTGCAGTTCTTTCATGTTGTATAGAATATCTATACTTTTGAAATTATCATATCGAAGTTAGAAATTCAAATATTGTGACAAAATTTATTATGTAGGGTGCCACAAGTTTGTTAAAATTTCCAAAGGGTGCCGCGACTAAAAAAAGGTTGGGAAACACTGGTCTAGAGGGCAAGACACTTCACACAACTATATCACAAGCGTTACATTTACACAATATATCACTTATGAAAGTAATTATGACCTTTGCATTGAAATGTATGCATGAATGAGCTCAAAGCTGTATTTGTATGAAAGAGAATTCACATGAACACAGTTAAAATGTTTTCATTATAATTTTACGTCAACATCTGTTTCCATATTATTATAACATACAATAATACTAATTAAATAATAAAGGCATTGTTCAATGTCAAATCGTTGTTATGACTGGTCAGCAGAGCTGGGTAGATTACTTGAAAAGTGTAACCCTGTCACGAATTCGGTCCATGGACTTCCGTTTATTCACCACCAGAGGTCACCCTTTCCATTACATTGACTCTCGCACTACACAAACTGTTGCATAGCACCCCGGACTACATATCCCATCATTCTTTGCACGATTTGCACACTGCACTGATTGCACTCATTGCACACAGCTGTTTCTAATCACCTCACTCACTATATAACACCCACTCTAACCACCTTTCTCTGCTGAGTATTGTTTAGCCCGTACCCCATTCCGAATCTCTGTGTTTTCCTTGTTTTGCCTTGCCTTGCCTGTTTCCGCGGTTTCTGATCTTTGCCTGTTTTCCTGGATTTTTCCCTCTCGTCTCGCCCCTGTGATTCTGTCTGCCGATCGGTGACCTACGCTAGCCCTGGGACTATTCTTTTGTTTTGCCCGCCATATACCTGTTTGCCATTGTTTGACCCTGCCTGTTTACCACGTCTCTTTAATAAAGCCTGCAGATGGATCCACACGTCTCACGTCTCGTCAGCCCCGTTACAAACCCTTTACTGATTCCAAATTACATGACAAAAAATGTAGTTAGTAAAATAATCTAGTACATTACACATTTTAGGTAATATAATCAGACTACTTTTTGATTACTTTTAGATTACTTTTGACCTGACTAGTTTATCCTATTGATTTAAATAGGATAATCTTTTAAAAAAATAAAAATGCAAAGAAAAAGAAAATATAATACATTTCTTGTTATTAACATAATGAAGTGCACTAAACATTACATTATGTCAAGGTTTCCTAAACTGGGGCTCATGAAGGAAATGCAGGGTGTTCACGAGTTTAATGAAAAGCTAATTACATCAATTACATCAATTACATCATAAAGCTTAATTACATCATAAAAAATTTAAAATAAAAATAAATCAATTTAAAATAATAACAATCAAAATAAAACACTTACTAAAAAAAATAAATAATTCAAATAAATATATTAGGTGAAAGAGATTCCTCTAGAGGCCTCTAGACGAGTGACTGGTCTTTGTGTGAATGTCCACAAAACTGGAAGAGTTTCTGAATGTATATAAGTGGTAAGCTATTTTAGAAAGGAACATTTAAAAGATGAAAAAGGGGAATTAGAGAGAATCAATAAATTATTAATAATTTATTGCTATTGTGTGAATAATATGTAATCATGTAATCAATAATGTGAGATTATGAGTATTTAATTTAATCTAATTACAAGTACTTAATGTTTGGAATCTGATTACATAATCCAGTTTACATGCAATCAGTTACTACCCAGCTCTGTTGGTCAGTTAGGTTGTTAAATATATGCGCTGGCATCCAGTTGATGTGGCTCACCTCTGCACAGGGACGTGTGCAGGTCGTGAGCGGGCTCTACATTGGTCTTCTCTGTGCGGCGATACTGACCGCGAGCGATGCTGCATGGTACGTCTCTCAGGTACGGTCAGCGTGCTTGACCTCTCCCTGTCTCTGGAGTTCCTCTCTGCTGCTTTAATACAAGTACATTCTGTGTCACGGATTTGTTCCAGTCAAAAACATACAAGGACATCAGAGAGTGACAATAACACACCCACATTCACATTTCTAAAACTACTACAACAATTCATGCCAAGGGATTGTGCTGAATTGTCAGCACAACTGCTACTGCTCTACACATGCTAGAAAGAAACAAGCAGATAAATAAATAAAAATAAAATCTGCATTATATGATTGTACTGTTACAAAGGTTCCTCCGTTTTCGTCCCCTTAAATGCATAATCACATTTTTACATTTTACTTTTATTTTATTCGCTTGGCAGAACAAACCTAAGTGTACATGATGCATAAGTTTTGGGAAAGACAAGAAAGTATCTAAAAAAGATGGCAAGTCTGGCGTGACTATAGAAATGTATAAAGCCTCTAAGTGGACATGGTGATGGTAAAAATATGATATGGGAGGAAAAATTTTGGTCATATTTTAGATAAGGGAATACTATTCACTATTAACTTGTTGCTTATTAGCATGCATATTACTAGCATATTGGCTTTATTAGTACTCTTCTGAGAAACTTTGCATTCCCTCACAAAAGTTTTGCGTTTCCCCCGTAAAACTTTGAGTTTATTAGCAAAACTTTAGTGCAAAAGTATTAAGTGTTATATTAAGTATTCCATTCTCTCAGAAAAGCACTGTATCATAGCTTATCCTCCCACCTCATATTCTCTTCTCTCTCTCTCTCTCTCTCTCTCTCTCTCTCTCTCTCTCTCTCTTTGTTCTTTTGTGGTATTTCTTGACATAGTGATTAGAAACCAATTAACCAGAAAAAAACAAATTAGAGATACACCAATGCTTGATTCACAACATTACTCATGTCAAGCAAATAACACCACAAAAAGCTATCCGTATCAACTTTATAGATTAATTTCCTAGAATACAACTGTAAACAACTACAGATGATGCTACAACTGATCCAGGATTTGCTGGTTACAACCACAGAGATGAGAGCTTCAATTAGCCTAACCTTAACCTCCATTAAATCACAGCGTGAAACAAAGCATTAAATAGACCTAAACAGCATATGTACCATTTTCACTGAAACACGTACACATTCCACTACAATTCACTCATGAAATTATCTATGAAGTGAATGTATTTTAGTACAATTTAGAACTGGAGAAGCACACTGACTTGCAATAGTCAGGAATTTACACTTTTTGTAAAGGAAATCTGACTTTTACATTTTCAACTTGCAGTTACATTAAAAAGTAGATTTGGGAAGGAAGTGAAATGTCCCCCAATCAATGTTGAAAGGAATTTTAAATGTGCCTAAATTAAGCATTAAGCGCTACGGGGTTTCTGAGAATTCATGACTCGTGCATCCACTAAACGTTTTATGATTGCTCATCAAAGCACTAAGACTGAACAAGTGCAAGTTTTCCTAAATTAATAAACAGAATATTAATGGAAAGCACTCAAATAATGCCCACAACCCCCCAAAGTTCAAATGAATCCTAAATGAATCCCAAGATTTAAGTCAGTTCTTTTATGTGGAAAATAATGTAAATGTCAACAGATGTCACATTATCAAGTTCTCAATATTGACATTAACTATGAAAAAATAATCTTGGTGTAACTCAATCCTAACACTCTATAACAAAATGTCAGACCAGGGGTTTTCAAACCTGCCCTGGAGGACTCCCAGCCCTGCACATTTTGTATGTCTCTTTCATCTAACACACCTAATTCAACTCATCAGCTCATTAGTAAGGACTGCAAGACCTGAACTAGGTGTGCCTGGTAAGGGAGACATACAAAACGTGCAGGGCTGGGGGCCCTCCAGGACAGGTTTAAAAACCCCTGGTCCAGACAACAATCCTTGGATTTTATCTTGGATATCCAAGATAAATGTAGAGTTTAAGAACAATATAACATGTTTACTGCAGGTCTGGCAACTTGCAGTACTCTTATGTTCAATCATGGAATATTATATATATAGTACATATATATATATATATAAAACAACAACTTAAGATTCAAAATATCAGCCACAGCGTATTCGTCATTTACACTCTAAATTCTACAGCAAGCTTTTCTACAGACATGCAACAGAGGTAACATCCATTGTCATAAGACCCATATTAATCCTGTTACATGCTGTAATACACTGTAATACACGGCCGCTTTATAACCTCTAGCTACTGCAGCTTGACAACAAAATTAAACAGGTCTTATGAAGGTGAAAAAAGTGTGTTTTTTTTTTTAATAGAGCGTGATTGTGGAGTGATTCCTCCAGTGTCCATGCAGAGAATTTGTGTGTTTCTGTGGTTCAGTTTAACACTTTACAGCCCAGCACAGGGGGAGAAAGATTGTATTCTGTTTTTCACGAACTAACACAACCTTCTTTTTTAATCTGTTATTCTATTCTAATCATACACAGCAGTTTGATCTTATGCTTTCAACTTTGTGCCAATTAAGAAGAAAATTCATTTGTATTTGAACTAATGGGCTCGTATACAACTAAAAGACTTGGAGGAACAGTTTAAAAAAAGTGTAACACTTCAGTACACATCTACAGGAATAATAGGTGACATTAACTTTCTCTCTCACCCTGTGTTGGGTTTCTACTCTTCAAACAGCAGAATCATTGCCCCCACCCACCTGAGGACACTACCGTTATACCATCATCATAATCCGTTTCAATGATGCGATGAGATCCTGAGACACACACACACACACACACACACACACACACACACACCACGCGAGAGTAAAGAGGTGTGTTCGACTTGAAGATCGAACGGTGTATGACATCAAAGTACTGCGAGAGCTATAACAGAGCAGACGTCTCCTTATGCTTTTTCTCGCCGTACTTTGATGTCACACACCCATCGGTCTAAGCAGCGCTGCTTCAAGTCGAGCGCGGGCCATCAGCACAAAAAGAAAAGAAATAAAACAGTAAACAGCCAAAAGACGTAACTTAAAATGGGAGATGGATCGGTTTGTGAAAGGGAAAGAAAAGCCATAGATTAAGTCGCACAGACCCAGGCAGGTGCTGGTCATTCAAAAGCTAAATGCAGAAAATATAACGAGGCATATCTTGCTCTCGGCTTCACTCACCACTCACCGTTTCTATACCGGACGCTACAGTTGTCGCGTCGCGCCGCAACAGCTCTACACTGGACACGACAAAGCGACCATTGCAAATCATTTTAACTGTGTCAGTACGTCATAAATAGAACAAGGCATCAGTTTAATGTTGGGTTTCAGAACAAAAAGAGCTTTAAAAAATAATTGCATATTAAATCGCAATTGCAATATTGGTAAAAAAAAATCGCAATTAGATTATTTTCCAAACTCGTTCAGCCCTAATTTTGATATATTTAAATTAATATATAAAGTGATTTGATTCTCATAAGCTACATTTATTTCATCATCTAAAAGTAGTAAAATTAATTTAACATTATGAAATATTGACTAAATCCAAAGGACTTTTCATCAAAAGACAAAAAGTATGAATTAAAAAAACTAATATTTAACACTACATTATGTCTGTTTCATGAGTGTTTTTGTATCACTGTTTATGAGATGAGTTTTTTTTTTTTTTTGACGCTGTTAAACATTTAGAACAACAGGCACTTTGCTCTTAATGGCATTTACAGTTCTCATAGAAAACATAAATTGAAGCACATAATACTGACCAATTTAAACAATTGTAAACAAAGGAAACAATTTGCTTCATTTTACCTTGCAACTTAGGAAATCATCTAAAACTTACTTTATCAGGTAATTGTGACAATAATGATTTTAAGTAATCTAAAACCAAATTTGAAGACATTGTAAATTCAGTAAAGTCATTTACTTGAAAACCTCACTTTTTACAGTGACACACACACTACTAGCCCACATACACCAACTTATACTTACTTTGCAGTTTTTTACTAGGACTGTCTCCATGAACATGTCTGCGAGGGAGGCAGGGGGACGGCTGAGGCAATGGTAGGGACAACACATCATGGGTTTGCAATTTGTACCAGTGTGGCTGGTCATCCAATACAGCTGTTTCCAGCTCTATCAGAATCTGGTCAAAAAGAAAGCCACAAAAGGACGATTTTAACCATGAAAGAATAAGTATTTGGAGGCTATAAAGGACCCAAAGAACTACCAGATACACATTACACCTGAGAAACAACACTTGTCTGCTTCAGAGCAACTGCACACCAGGGGCATGTATAAATTAGCATACAAACAAAAAGAACTTCAAAGAGCATAATACTAAGTTCCTACCAATTGGGATTTATAAAAAATAAACTTCAGAAGGTGCTTTGAAAAACTGACTATTCTTATGCATACCAGTGGAGTCAAGAACACAAGTACATATTATGTGTTGTTTTGAACCTAAATACAGATACACAGATATCTTACTGTCAAGACATACTAATTTAAGCACACACACCTTTCCCAGAAATTCACTCTCTTCCTCTTGGACTCTGGGCTGGTCCCAAACAGTGATCTCCAGCATGTGCTCTCTGAAGTCTCTGCGGTGGACGTGAGAATACAGGAACGTCTGGTTCCACTTTGGCTCTGCACTCTTCTTCACTGTTTTTGTCCTTCTTTTGCTCTTGTCACTAGAAGAATATAATGTGATTATAAGAGCATGTATAGTCTGCAAAATTTTGCAAAATTCTTCCAAAAATCAGCACAAAATGCAACAAAAAGTCTGCAGATTCCATTTCCATCTGCTTATTATTCAAATATTGACAAGGAATGTATTTTAGAAACTCAGCAATACCCAAAATGGAAAATGCAAGTCAGATTTTATATTAGAGACCTAGTGCATGGACAAATATTTTATCAAAGAAAGAAAAAACATGCAAAAACATTCCAAATAGTAAAAAAAAAAACACTAATCTCTGAGGCCACCAATCTACATTACCATTCAAAAGTTTACACTCGGTAATGCTTTTAAAAGTCTCTTCTGCTATCCAAGGCAGTATTTTTTTAATCAAAAATACAGTAAAAAATAGTAATGTTGTGAAATACTATTACTATTAAAAATAACTGTTTTCTATGTGAATATATTGTAAAATGTAATTTATTGATTACATTATTTATTGACTGCAGTGATTTTTCAGCAGTCATTAATCGAGTCTTCAGTGTCACACGATCCTTCATGAATGCTGATTTGATGCTCAAGAAACATTTCTTCTTCTTATCAATGCAAAACAGCTTTGTGGATAAATATTTTTTACCGATTCTTTGATGAATAGAAAGTTCAACAGTATTTATTTGACACAGAAATATTTGTAACAATATTCATGTCTTTATACATAGTTTGGTTAAAATTTCTCAATGGTAGTGTAAAAACACCTTTTTTACCTTGTCAAAAACAGCTCTTTTCAGAGCAAGCCATTTTGTAGCATTTTCCTTTAAATGTTAATGAGCTCTGCTGCCCCCGCCCCTCTCTTCCGAGCCGCTCTCTGAGGGACTGTTTACTTTAGACGCATTCATCGTGAAACTTGCTAATTAGCACATTATTAGGAAAGATGATTTGCAAAGATTCATTAAAATACCTTATACTCACTTCTTCTGTAGGCGAAGCTGGATCACGAATGATTTGCACGAACATAGATGCGTTTATGTAGATCGGGGCGCATTCTTTTCAAAAACAAACGTAATCCACATCGTCTTCAGCGACTCAGATGTCGGGAGTAAATGACGACTGCTATGTTCATTATTACATCCAACAACAGAACAGTAAGATGGCAGTCCAGTCTGTGCTGAAACGCTACTGTCAATCAAACTATCGTGGGAGGGGCCTGTTTTTGTGACGTCACACAGACAGGCATCTGAGATTGGCTCGATTTGAGAAAAGGGTAAAGATTTTAGTAGATTAAAAAAAAAAACACTGGGTGGATTTTTATCATTATAGGGTGGTTGTGTACACACACTGCCAACACACATTTCAGTTCAAACAACTTGTAAAAGTGCATGTAGCATCCGATGACCCCTTTAAAGCATCATTGCTGAATAAAATTCAAAACATTACTGACCCTAAACTTTTGAATGGTTTTGAATGCAAACTATTACCACTTGAAAATGCTTGAAAATTCATAAAGTTAGACTGTAAATTATAATACATTTTAATTTTTTTTACCTTCTATCAGGAAGAAAATACATTTTGACATAGGGATTTCTGGGTCGTCCGTCTGGTCGAGGGGGCAGTTCTCGTGCTTGTAGGACATTGACAATAAGCTGATGGCCCACTTTATCATACCATAATTTCACCTTGGTAAAAAGAAATAACAATTTCTCAAAGTGTTCAAGGTGTTGGCAATACATTATTTACATGATAAAATATGTCAACCTTGTCACCACACCACTTCCTTTTCAGGTGAGAAAACAGGTCTAAATATGTTCTCTCCAAAGTGTTTTTCCCCCTCCATGCTTACCGACAACTGGCCTGGCAGTACCAGAGGAAGGTCTCTCAACATCCCTGGACTAGTTGGTGACATTACAGAAATGGATGGACGGTCCATCTTTTGGGATTCATCTATAGAACTCGAACCAGCTGTAAGTTCAAAAAGTTGACATGTTAAGTGTGGAGCTATGCAGATGTATTGTACACTTATTGGTGAAGTGAATTTTTAGTCATAGTGTTTGTCATATTCATATTCATATTCATTAATCATAGTCAGTTTTCCACTTACTAAAATTACATTTTTACTCTATGAAAATACTATTTAGTTGGCGAGTGCAAAAATGAAAAAAATAAAAATAAAAAACCAAACAGTATTCATTTAAACATAAATCAACATTTACCAAAAACAGTGAAAGAAAACCAGTTAAGAAAACCTGAACATTATAATGAGTACACTTTTTGAATAAAATGTGTAAATTCTTACTGCTTTATTAGTCATTGTCAGTGTGTTGGCCAACAAACCTTCATTATTTTCACAAGTATTTTTGTTTATGTTATTAACATTGCCCTTGTGTCAACCAATGAAAGTCAATTGTGACTCTCTTCGATCCATTTTAACCACATGGGAAAAAAAGCAGCTTGGACATTCCTCTAAATTTCTCCTTTTGTGCTCCACGTAAGAAAGAAAGTCATACAGGTTTGAAATGACACGAGTGTGAGTAAATGATGACAGAATTGTCACTGAACTAACTATCTGAACTATCACTGAACTATCTTTTTAAACTGAAGTCACAAAACCTACTTGATTCTAAAGGAGGATGTGATGTCCCTGGAAGTCTTGGTGTATCTCTGTAGAAAACAGAGAATTGAAACACAGGAGAAAAGAATGTCAGTTGACAGATCATTAGCTTCTCTCTCTCTCAGTTTTTCCACACACATACACACTAACTTGACTGCACATTCTCTCTTGAGATTTCATGGCAAAACTGTCCAGACACAGGAAAGAAAAGGGAACCGAAGGACCGCTCTAATGCACTGGCTGAACCATTTTAATGGTGAGAGGAGGGTCTGGAGCATGTAGGGTGACAATGGGGACACTGGGAAGAAGAACACTCTCAGATACTACTTTACTTACTGATATGCTCTATAGTCCTTTTTCAAGAAGTTTTTGGACAGAATTCGTTGAATACATCTTTAACATGCAGCAGGAAGGAAAATCAATGGAGTCACTTATATATCCAAAGGTTTGTTCTCTATTTTTCATTGCCAAACTAGCTGCTCATTTTGTGTGGTTTGTTTAGCTTACCCAATTGGTCTAGAAACAACTATTTCCACTTGAGGTGCTAATTGGGACTCCAGAATAATATTGTACACTTCCTTTTTAGTTGCTCCAGGCAACGCCTTTCCATTCCACTGCAACACCTCATCGCCTGAAATCAAAAAAAGAAACCATTTAGCACTTGGTGGTGTCCTACATAGACAGACTGACTGAATAATGAGCTGTGAAAAATTACACGTAGATATCCAACCAAAAATATCAATGGAGATCTAGCAGAAGACATCCATAAAAAAAAAGAAACATTTTAAATACTGCAATTTTCTTACAAAATTAGTTCGTCAAAATTAAATAATTATTACCTGCTCGTAAATGGCCTACAATGTCAGCCAAACTTCCTTTCTTTACTTTGGTGATAAAGGCCCCCAATCTCCCTGACTCTGTCATTTTCCCACCAACCACCTGGACAGGACAGATGAGTCAAATCAAGTCAAGTCACCTTTATTTTATAGCACTTTATACAACAGAAAGCAGCTTTACAGTATTAAACAGGAACGTAACAGAATCAATGATGCAAACTTCAAAAATGAGGCAAATCCAAAATTCTGCTAGAAAGCAGCTCTAACAAGACAATAGTATCATTACTCAGCTCCAGTCAGTTCAGTGTTGATTCAGATCAATTCAATAACTGTGAAAAGCTCATTCATTATAAAACAATTTCACCTCACATTCGTCAGATTCTATGGCTCGCATATCTAGGCCATAGAATCTGACGAATGTGAGGGGCGTGGACCATCCTGCTGCGTTGCATATGTCCTGCATAGACACACCTGCTAAGAAGGCCTTGGAGGACGCCATACCTCCGGTCGAGTGAGCCTTGACCCCCATTGGCTAGGGGAGATCAGAGGACTCATAGGCAATAGTAATGGCATCAACTATCCACCGACTGAGGGTCTGCTTTGTAGCAGGGAGACCCCTATTAGGGGGACCATAGCATACAAGCAGTTGGTCCGCCCTACTCCACAGGGCAGCTCTGTGGATGTATGTGTCCAGTGCTTGCACTGGACACATGCAATTAAGCTTCTTCAATGATGCAAACTTCAAAAATGAGGCAAATCCAAAATTCTGCTAGAAAGCAGCTCTAACAAGACAATAGTATCATTACTCAGCTCCAGTCAGTTCAGTGTTGATTCAGATCAATTCAATAACTGTGAAAAGCTCATTCATTATAAAACAATTTCAATTCAGCGATAAGCAGCTCTAACAGCAGTGCCATTATTCAGCTCGAGTCAGTTTAAGTTTTGCTCTCATCTGATAGCGTCAGTGCTGTCAAGTCAATGGTATTACTGAATTTTAAGTGTTTTTTAAAACCCAACTAAACAAGCCAGAAGGCGACAGAAATGGAGAAAAAAACTTTGGGAGAAACCAGGCTCAGTCAGGGGACCAGTTCTCCTATGGCCTACAGTATATGAATGAGCACGATAACATAACCATGTTTACTCACAATCTGCAATAACAAACTAAGTACTGCTCTTCAGCATCTTTACACAAACATTTTGTAGAGCATGGCACAAGCAACACTAAGGTTATAGGTTCAATTATAAGAGAACAAACACACACTGATAAAATGCATAATTTGAATGTACTGCAAGTTCTTTTTAAATGTTTTTTGTTTTAGTTTACTATAATAACTCTGATTGTATTTACCTTTATATATCGTAACAAACCAATAATGACAAGAAAAAAGGCAAAGCTCAAATTAGCAGCTAGTGGATCTTTTAAGGTGCAGTCATATTTAGTACTGCTCAGCAAAAAGGCGAAATCCAGTCATTTTAACAGTAATCTGTGCAATGAAGAATTTCACCTGACTGTGGGTTCATATTTGTCACAGACCAAAAGCAAGCCTCTTTGTTCAGCAGTGACCTCTGTGTGTGTGTGGCGATCCATAACTTATCAATAAAGCAAAACCGAAAATCCACAATAGACGATGCGCTCATTCTGGCGGTGTCTACTCAGCCAGTTTTGTATAATACTACACTTCAATTTAATAAAATGATCCATTAAAAAGCTGTATGGAAAGCCGTTATTTAGGGCTAGTTTGTTTGCTAGCTGGCAGAATAGCTTTGGATGTTTATTTTGTCATCATTATTCCCATATTATTAACTGTATTTTGTCGCATCTGGTCCCTCTTTATTTTGGTGGGGAAATTTTAATAAGCAACCGTAAATGTGACCACACCTTTAGTGTAGTGCAAGTGCAAGATAAGGAGAAAAATGTGATTTGCTAGTGTAAACTGTCATTGACAAGCTCACCTTCAGACCCAGTAGGGAACCAGCTTCTCGTGGCATGGTGGAGTGCTTACTTAGAGTGATGCGGCCAATCAAATGATCTCCCTCTTTGGATGGCTGCCAGCTCACTGGATGCTGTCGGGAACCGAACAATGCTTTTTTTTTTTGTCCCATTAATGCTGAACACTCATACTGACATGACATGTACATGTGAATATACAAATCAGTTAGAGTTCAGCTACAGAAACGTTGTAATCAAACAACTGCTGTTTCTGCTATTGTACCCATTGCCACTGATACATGACTGCAATATATGATTCAAATAAAATTAAAATACTTACATGCCACACAGTGGGGTCCAGAGAATGACAATCCCAGTCACCTGCAGAATAGAAATTGACAATTATAAACACGTAATTAATCCAAAATAGAGCTGTAGAAGCATAATGACAGTCATAATAGAGGAAAACTATGTAGCTTCAAAACAGAAACAACTTTTTGAAAGTGTTTAGTTTAGTATCACTGATATAGTAATATAGTTTTTGTTTATATTTTGAATTAGGCTTTATTTTTATATTTTCTGTTTTTATTTAAAATTTATTTAAAGTTTTAGTCATTTTCTTAACATGTCTGTGTAGTTTTTTTTTTTTTAAGTTTATTTGGTTGTAGTTATTGTAGTACTTTAACTTCAACTTAAGAAACTATTTAAATGAATTAAAATAAGTTATTTTTTTGTATAAAATCGTATAAGATATACAGTATGTGTCATTGCTAGCTTGAAGCCCAGATCCAGATAAGTTTGATTTTAGGGTGTATTCACACCTGTCTTGTTTGGTTCAATTAAATCAAACTCAAGTTCGTTTCACCCCTTGGTGCGGATCTTTTGGGCAGGTGTGAATACAGCAATCGCACTCGGGTGCGGACCAAACAACTGTTCCGAGACCCAGGGGGAGGAGGACAAAAGGCCTGTAGTATGATAGGCTGTGGTGTAACAGAGGGAACCTTAGGGACATACCCTGCTCGAGGGTAGAGAAACACTTTGGCCTTACCGGGTGCAAAGTCTAAATAAGAAGGGGCCACTGAGAGGGCCTGAAGGTCCCCAACTCTTTTTAGAGAAGCAATAGCCAGAAGAAGGACAGTCTAAATTGTCAGATAGCGATCAGAAATTTCTTCGATAGGCTCGAATGGAGACTTACAAAGAGCTTCTAGCACCACAGCCAGGTC